ACAAAAGAAATGACCGACTTAAAATTCTTTAAGTTTCAGATTCAAGTACTTATACCGGCATCATTGTTTTGCTGTTGATTATTTTCGTTCTGATTTCTGGAATTGTATTTTTTGCATACATACGGTATATGCTCTATTTTTTTTCTAATTTGATTAAAATACTTTGAATATGAATACTTATAAAAGAAAAAAAAGGTACGTGTTTAAAAAATTGACTGGTTTTTTCATAATATGTGTTTTGTCCATTGTTTGTTATAGAAGCAAAAAATCAAAGATAAATACAAAAAGACGCAGACTCCAAAGATCGGAGGTTAAATACCTAAATAATGAGAAGCAGAATGACGAAAATTGTACGGACATTTTTTTTGTACTCGAAACTACATCAAATTCGTCTTGAATCGTCAATTACATTGACGACGACTCTTATCTTATCCTTACACGGAAATTCAGGAAGGGACATATAATCATCTGCAAGGCAACCATGTAAGGGAAGTGAAAGAAGAAAAGACACATGACCATGCAACTTTAAGTATAGAATATGGAAGTTACGGGGAAAATAAAGAAAACATTGATGATACGTATGCTGGAATTTCCTCTGATTATGGACAGATTAATACAAATGTACATATGGAACCAATAAGTGGCGAATACGATAAAGTTGTTAACATTTTTCACGATACAAAGTAAAAAAATATGTATTGATAAAATTAATATGATAGGGCTATTGGGAATAATAAAACCATTGAAACCAAGGCAGTTCCAGAATACATTTTCTAGAACTAAACCGGGATAGCCTACCCAAAGTTTAAGACTGGTTTAACTTAAAAAGTAAATTAAATGGTCTCAAAAGTCTCGGTCGTTGACGGCATTCTTATACGCGTTTTGTAACCAAGGGAGACATTTATCAATATTCTAATATCACAAAACATAGAATGAATTTCTCCAAAAATACTTTCCCATAAAATTCCCTCAGTATCGCCAAGAAATAATTCATTAAAAGAGGTTATATGGCAGTCAATTGAATATATCATTTGAAGATTAGTTGTGTGAAATTTTCATTAAAAGCACAAGTTCGTTTGTCAATATTTAGTTTTTTTGAACCATGTTGTGGCCTTCAAGAAGTTTGCTTCAGTGGACCAGAAAAATTTTGATTTTAGTACCCTTTTATATGATATATTTAAAACTAAATGAACATATTGACGTCTTTTTTTAATCCCTGTTAAAAAGAAAAGAATTATGCTTTTTATGCATTGCATCAGGCAAATATTATTATTTTAGATTATACATATCCTTAAGAAGTAATATGTTTTCTTTTTTAACAATTTGACATTGAAGTTTGATCTGTTCTTAATAAATGTAATCTAGAACTTTGGCTGCCACGCGGGGGCCTTCATTTTTTTATGGTTAATACATGTACACATTTTTTATGTCCACTTCCAGATTTGCCATTCAATGCTTCGGAAAGTAACAGTTTCTTACAGTGACAAAAATGTTACAGGGGTAATTGTGAATTTACAAATTGTTTTTGAAAGTCTTCGTACTGAAAAGGTATAGCATGTAAATTTTTCTTCTAGTTATAGATTTATTTTCCAAGATTTTCAAGATTTTTTTTTACAAAAAAATGTTTGTGGTGTCTGTCCTCAATTAAATAGAAAACGGATATTTTACTTCAACCATACTCTATGATACTCTATTATACTCTGTGATAAACGTGATAGCTTTACCTTTTTTACCGCCAACTTCCTGTACCTATGCAGTAATATACCTTCATTGCCTGCATACAGAGTTTATATACCTCAGTTGATTTGATACGCAATAGCATGCTCTACGGATGACCAATTTCTGATACGAGGTAAACTATTGACACATAAGTTGAAGAAACAAGAACATCACCAATCTCTTTTAAAGTAATCATTTCGTAAGTCTGCTGGTCGATACAATGACCTTGTCAGCAAATACAATTTATCATTGAGTAAAACGCTAACTGACATTTTTCATATCAAACGTTAGTCCATTATTTATATAATGAATTGACAACGGGTTTTAGCGTTATTTCCCGATCATACCAAGGATGTGACCTGTCGGTAGGGGATGCTTACTCCTCCTTGAAACGTGCTTACCTGTTATGTTTTGGAGGCCAGTGTTTGCTCTGTTGCTATTTGGTATTGTTTGATGAACTTTGGATCTTGAATACTATTCCTTATCTCCATATGTTTCATTTTATATTTTTTTTTATTTCTTACAAATACAATTAGAGCATGCGAAAGTTGAACAGGAAATTTAAGTTTTTGACATAATTCATTGTAAAACACTTTTCTGTCATAAGTAAGACAATGCTCATTTTATTTTCTTTTTTTTAAGGAAGAAGGAATCATTTAAGATGAAACAGATATCATAAACTGAGAAAATGGTGGTACAGGGACATATAATTAGGATAATATATGATATAAACAATGCAGTATTGTTATGAAATGCTAAAAACTTCACAGGTGACTAAAACAGGTTATATTGTTATATGTACACATAAGGAGAATTTCAAATACTTTTATACACAATATACTCATCACATCCCGATACTAATATAACGGAAAGGATCAGTCAAAATTTTGTATGCAAAAATGTTGCCTGCAATGCAACTTTTGAGGTAGATTTAGAGCTTAGAAAGAAATCAAAATGGACATGTACATATGTAACCTAGGATGAACAACAGAACAAACTCAGCCACGTTAATACAGTTACTGTAACTTTAAAATTATGTCGCTATAAGTGTCTCAAAAATACTCTCTATACATTCCACATACATTGCCTGATACCAGTCAGGCAGTGTACTTATTTATATTTTTTATGCACCTGGATCGACATATAATCAGAACGTATATTGTTTTTGTCCTGTCTGTCTGTTTATCTGTTCATCTTTTTGTCTCTTTGTCTGTCTGTCTGTTGTCATCTTTAACCTTTGTCACACAACTTTTGAAATATGAGAGATAGAGACTTCATATCTGGTATTCATACTCCACTTATAAAGTTCTTTGACAGCAATGCCAATGACCTTGTGACTTTGACTGCAGCTGTGACCTATATGCTAAAATTAGCGTTTTGGAACTTATGCTATAATAACTTTTAATTCATAAGAGACATAGTCATTCTTTTAAGGAAGGATTTTGTCACTACCAAAAACACCATAAGCTTTTTTTTAAAAAAGATGGGCGAGAAAGCGCCGAATTGATTTTTTTACACAGAAAGGACGATTCGGTATCATCTGGTTTATTTTGCTTATTTCTTTGATATTTAACGAGTTTGAGTCAGATAGTTAGAATTATAATTTTTTTTGTGAAGTGTATTTTATGGGATTAAAATTGTCTATGTGGAAATGCATTGTATTAATCGTGTATCGTGTCTTGCCAACAAACTTAGAAAAAAATGGAAGTTGACTGTATTATACAGGAAGGTAGTATAACTCGCAAGCTAGATGTTTAGAAATTTGGCGTTATATGACTTACGTTTTGTTGTGTAGTTAATTTTAACACAATAAGAAAACAAAATTCATAATCAAACAGAAAATGGCCAGAATTACTTGATTAAAAAAAAAGACGTAATTTTCATCGCAAAGTCTATCTATAGTAGCTACTTTTCCCAGACTGCTAGACCGTGAAGTTTTCCTAGAATGCCCGACCGTGAAGCCGAGCATGTGTATTATAGAAATATAGACTAACATGGTTGCTAGCGCTCCAGGGCAGAGTAATTTTTTAGCATGGTTTACTGTAAAACCTTTCTCTTTGAAAAAATACAAAACAATATCTAATTTTTTTTCTGATATTAGCAGGATAAAATGACCGGTTCTATTTATGGCATTTTTATTAGTATCTTTGAATACGTAATTTAGATAATTTAGGAGTATTTTACATATTATTGTTTTAATGTTACGTTACAGAATTCCTAAGTTTTAATGTCCATTTGAAAACTTGATATTTTCATAGATAAATTAAAATAAGAATTAATTATCGAGATTTTCTTATTTTATCAATCAAAAAGGCAATTATATTTATTAAAATTAAAAACTAGGTTACTTAATGTCTGCTTCATTTATTCTACATCGGAGGCTAAGATTTCAATAATAAAATCATTTAAGTAAAATTCCAAGGAAGTTTTAATTTCAAACAAAAAATATTTTGTTAAATGCTTCACTGAAATCCTCATCGTACAAAACAGAAAAAGAATGCATCAGGATATTACGTCGTATTTGTTTCCTTGAACTAGATTAAAGGAATAAAATACTTAGCTGAGTGACGGAAGAAAGGAAATATACAGAAAAAGAAAATATCTTAAATTGTAGTGGTTGGTTGTAAAAGGCCTAGGGTTAAGTGAAACTCCAGATCTTGCTGAATTATAAGGAGTATTTTTACTAAGGGTAATTAGCATCAAAATGAATCTTTAGGCTTTATAGAAGGGAGGTTTTTTAAAAGAAGTGAAGAGTGGTTTTGTTTAATCAGGAAGATATAAACCACAATTATTTCAGATCTAAACATCAACATAAAGATTTATTTAGGAATGAACTGTCGAAAGTCTCCAATTAACATACACTGCTCTTAAAAATGTTCCAAAGGCATGAAAAACATAAGTTTATATCTACCTCTTTGATGCTGTTCTATGAGAATTAAATTTTCAAGTTAACTGTTTTACTATAGAACTTTTATTTGATTTAAATTGAAGTTTAAAAATACCGGCAATATATAGAATATCTGTCGGACTTATGCTTTCTTTCTAGAAATACAAGCAAGGATGTGTACAATTAAATGTTAAGGGAGTCTTTTGAATTATAATAAGATATTCATTTCTGTTTTCACGAATCTTTAATCAATGCAATAAATACTGAACAATTGTTTTGATAAAAATTAGGAAGGAAATAACAACCGGTACTGCATAAATAAAGAAACAAAGCTATTTATATCATGCTTTCTCTCTCTAAATACACTTCTTCCTTGTGATTGAAAATAATATTTATATTTCTTTCAACAAGTAAATGATTATATGTTTTCATTTTAGATTAAGGAAGACATGTAAAATGACAAGGAGAAATACTGTATCACAAACACTGTTGTTCACTTGGCTAATGTTATATAATGGTATGTATTTCATTGTATTTTTCTTCCCTTGCTGAAATTGTTAACAAACTTTACAAATATTGATATAAAAATGTGCGTATTTAACGCAGAAATTGTGCTACTGTCAGCAAAATGTTTCAGTTTTAGCTCACCCTAACCAGAGGATTGAGTGAGCTCTCCTAATCAAAATTTGTCCGTTGTCTGTCGTCGTTGTCCTTGTTGTTGTTGCCGTTGTAGTCGTTGTCATCGTCGTTAACTTTTCACATTTTCGACTTCTTCTCAAGAACCACTTGGTCAATCACAACCAATCTTGGCCAACAGTATCCTTAGGTAAAGGGAATTCAAGTTTGTTCAAAAGAAGGGTCATGTTCTTATTCAAGGGGAGATAATTCAGAAATAGTGAAAATTTTATGGTATGTTTTAAAAATTCCTCTTCTCAAGAACCACTGTGCCATGAAAGATTAAACTTATAAGGAAACATTATCAGGTAGTGTAGATTTAAATTTGTTCAAATCATGTCCCCCGGGGGTAGGGCTGGGCCACAATGGCCGATCAAATTTTTACATAGAAATAAATAGGAGCATTCTTTCAAAGTCTTCTTCTCAAGAACCAGGAAAGATGAAGCTTATAGGGAAGCATCCTCAGGTAGTGTAGATTCAGATTTGGGTAGGGCGGGGCCACCATTTAAGTTCAAATGTAAAGGGCAATAAAGCCACTGGTAGTCAAAGAAATATGCAAGCTTCCTTACTAATAGTGTAGATTCAAGTTTGTTCAAATCACACTCTCTTCCTTGTTCTTTGATATTTAAGGATTGGTAAGGACCCCTATTAGGTTTAAAATTTTCAATAATAAACTGATTAATGCTATTTTTCCTAGCCACATTGCTCAGGTGAACGATATGAACAATAGGTTTCTTGTTTATATATAGAAATCACCTTTGACTTTTTATGTTACAAGACGTGGAAGAAGGATATGGAGATAACGAACAGTATTCAATCTCAAAGTCCATAAAACAATACAAAATAAGAGCAGAGCAAACAAGGACCCCCGAAACATCAGAGGTGGGTTCAGGTGCCATGGAGGAGTGAGCATCCCCTGCCGACCGGTCACACCCGCTGTGTGCTCCTTGTCATGATCAGGAAATAACGGAAAAAATCCGTTGTCAATTCAATGTATAAAAAATTGACTAACAATTGGTATGAAAAACGTCAGTCAGCATTTGACTCAATGATAAATTGTATTTGCTGACAAGGTCATTGTATCGACCATAGAACTAACGAAATGATGACTTTAAACGACACTGCTGATATTCTTGTTTCATCAACTTGCTAGTCAATAATTTACCTCGTTTCAGAAATTGTTCATACGTAGAGCATGCTCTTGCGTATCGAATCAACTGAGATATCTATATATACTCCGTATGCAGGTGATGAAGGTATATTGCTGCATAAGCAAGGGACGTTGACGATAGAAAAGTTAAAGTCATCACGTTTATCATATAGTTTGGTTGTTAGATTACTGTTAGCGTCTTTTTCAATTAAAATATCCAAGTATGAAACAGAAGTATCAGACTCTGTGGTATCTTTTATTTCAAGCTCACCAGAATATATCGTATCGATGTAGGAATGGAAATTACCATTGATAATTGACAATACGTCGTCCATTTATCTAAATGTCGAGTTGCAGAAAAATCTTCAGAAATTTTCTTGCCGGTAGATATATTAATACATATTAAACTGTCAAATAGCCTATGACTAAAACCTGAAAAGTCGAAGAAAAAAAAAATGATTTTCTTGGGAAAAGGTTTATTAATATTGTATAAATCTGTACCACATGTGTTGCCAGGTTTCAGTTCAGTTAACCCAACAACTTCCTCGGCTTCTATTTTGCTTTAATTTTAATTTTCCATAATACAATCATATTTATATTTTCTGATTCATCAGTTACGGATAAAAAGTATGCATTAACATAAGTTTTTGTGTAGGCTTTCGTTTCTTTTTGTCATGAATTCTGCATATGATGATTTAATTTTATGCTGTTTAAAGTTCCAATCGAGAATATTTCACTCAAATAGAAAAGTCATCATATATCGTTGAAAGGCTTCAAATATGCAACTTTACTCGGTACTTAAGGCCATTGAGCAGGAGCAATGGGGGATCTTTATCGTGCCAGTGTCTACCGTTACAGGGGGCCATGTTTTAAAGGTCGCATCCGAAGAACGTGCAACTTTTACTGCAAGGTGTCTAGCTCACAGAAACAATAACTGCTTCCTCTTTATTCGACATTCCGAACACAGAGCAAATGCTCAACAGACTGAGCAGCTGTGAGAGTAATTTTGCATATGAGATATGGCAACGACTGAAAAGATTTCATTATTTTTTTTTTTGGAAGGGGCGGGGGGTGTATGATTTGTGACAATATTATATGATCAGATACTTCATTACATGAAAACTCATGCACGTTTGGACATGTATGACCAATAAATGTTTTTAAAGTCGGCAAGGTGTCACCTTTCATTTAAGAAATAGCATTATATTCTTAAGAGTACTTTTTTACTCGCAGGTGATATCAGAAGTGTGTCTTTTTCTATGTCATGGGATTGGTTTGAAGCTCAACAACAATGTCATAAAATTAATGATACATTACCTAGAAACACTTCTGCTTCAACAGAAATGGAAATCTGGACTGGTTTCTACCTGAGACAATCATCGTGGATTAAAATTCTGGGTAATTCTTATATTATAGAACTGATTCATAATGAGATGGGGTGCAAGGAGGGGGGGGGGGTAGCAATTGCAAAAATAAGTTTTGTCAACTTTTTTTACATGTATAATCCTGTAGAGAAGAAATACAAGTTTTAACCATCAAATTGTATTTTTAGGCTGTTTTGATTCAAAGAATATTTATGGCTATCAGGAATTCCTGAAGAATCATTTATCTGCTGGATATTGTCACGAAATATGTTCATCATTAAACTCGACAATTTTTGGAATTAAGGTATTCCCAAAAAAAAAAGGTATACTTTGGTTTGCGTTTTATAAATGTATGATCTATAAATTAAAAGCAATTAAGTAATGCATAGTGATAAACATACAAAAAACGAAATATTTAACCTACTATATTCATCTTTGAATTGTCGTTTATCCAGATATAAAAATATTTTATATTAAATTTAGATATTAGAATTAACACCTAAGCTTATGCGAGTAATGCATTTTTTTTTTCCAATCGCTGCAACATTTATCAAAAATACTAATAAACAAAGAAAGCATTTCATTGTTTAACTACTATAAAATGAAACCCTTAAATCGTTACTTTTGTAACATCCGCGATCCGGAAAAATAAAAAAAAAGATATAAAAACGTACAAAGAAGTTACATATTATCCTCATTTATTTTTTTGGTGGGGGTGTATTCCTACACTCAACGTTCGTAGCTGCATAGACATGTGCATGTTGTGTGTTAAGCACGCATATTATAAGACATAATTTCAAAACAAAATACATTCACGAACAAATTATCTATACTTAATCTTGATAAAGTCAGCTTTTAAACCATAATGATTCCTTTGAATTTTTAGATTTTTTTTTATCAGGTTTCACTTTTTACTCTTTGAATGTATATTGCATGCGCAAATGGTTAATTATGTTTGTAGGAAAAGAAATGTGTGTGTCTTGGACGCTCAATTTTGAGTAAAACGATTTTACCCAATCAATGCAATGAAACATGCAGACAAGATACAGAAGGTTTTGGATTTTCAGAATGTGGAGGACCTAATGCCTATTCTGTATACACTGCAGGTACACTGTATATGAATAATACGACATTTTCTAAATTTGGTGTTGAATTCTAAAGTTACCTTTATAGCACTTTCTGAAAAAGAAATATTGATGGAAATATACTGTATCATTTTTTTGTATTAAGTTCTGTTTATCCTAAATGATGTTTGATGTTAACTTCCCCTTTGCAGCATTTAGGACATAGGCAACGGGCCATACCTACTGATGATTTTTACAAGATATTCTTAATTTAAGATAACAGTGTCATCAATTAAATATTCGAATACAAAATTCAGCATGCGTTATCAGGGGTTTTGAAGAGATATCAATCGATGAAAATTATTTTAAACTTTAAAAAAAATATACGAAATTTCTAAGCATGTAATCTCGGTGTTTTGTTTATCTAAACTTGAAGACGTGTACAAAAGCATTTATAGACGTTACTTGTGAAGAAAAGAACACAGTTCCTTTAAAATTTGAAACTCTTCAACTAAAAATCCAGGGAGAGACACAATACACTACAAACTATTTTGCCATTAAATTGGTAAATACATTCAAATCATATTTTGGCGAGTTCTTCCAACGACATATGTTGATCGATATCATTTTCTAAAAAAAAAGTTTGTAAAGTAAATATGCATAAATTATTTTAAAATACAAGTATGTATATTATATTTCCTCTAAAATATAATTTTGAAACGTTTATTAGATTCATCATTTTTACCGAATTGTACAAAAGCCGAAAATGGTGGAAAAGCAACATGTCTTGCGGTTAACTGTGGTACTGAACAGAGGTTTTCTATTTCAACGAGTTGTTCTGAGTCATATTTCGGAGTCTGTGAAGTTAAAGGTATTGTTTTAAGCATATCAGATTTAAAGTAACCCAATGATAGATCTATAAGAGAAATTAATATGTTAGTGATTAGTATTGATTTGAGAGGAGATAAAATGCAGTGTCTGCATTGAACACTTCAGATATCCCCTTAATACTTTTTTTTTTGTGAGTCTTGCTTTAAGCGTTAGCATTTTAAAACAAACACACAATGCCTGCATTCTCCAAAAATAGAACAATTTAATGCAAATAATAATTAGTCATTTTCCTGGAGCGAAAGTAAAGTCTATATTTAAATTTATTCATCCTGTGAGACCGACGTTACTTTTTGATTAATAAACAGAGATCGATGGCATCAAGAAAACTAGGTATTAGGCCGTTTGGTATAACTAACAGATTTCTTTGACATAGTCTTTCTTATACAATAGGAAATTGTTGTGTAAAATTTCATTGCAAAACCTCAAAAAGCTTTTCAAGATATGGAAGGAAACAAAAGTGTTGCAGGGACACGGACTAACAGACAGACTATCGGAGGGAAGACAGACCATAATTGATATCCCCACGTTCAAGGGCAGACAAAAAATAATATATGATTACTTTAATCATTGAATGGTCTTTTTCTTAGAATACCTGGGGTGTTTTGAGGATCAAAGTTCGCGAACCCTTTCAGGAGAGGATAAATGGGCCAGAGATATGACTATAAAACTTTGCAGAAAGTTTTGTTCAGATCGAAAAAGAAAGTTGTTTGGAGTCGAGGTTGCTTTATTAACTAAAAAAATTTTATGACATATTAACAGTTATAAGGAAAAATCCTGCTGTATTAAATTTATTGAAATATTCCTTTACAGTATTCAAATGAATGTTTTTGTGGAAACGATTTTGTAAGGAGGATCAAAAAGGCTGAACGTGAATGTAACATGACATGCGGTGGAGATAACCGTCAAATATGTGGTGGACCATGGAGGATCAATATTTACAGAACCCCATACTTCGAAATTGGTAGATATCGAAAATTTCAAGTAAACATGCTACTAAAATTGTAGTTTAATTTTCCCCTTCAATCTTGATTCTCCTCTAATTTATTTTTAAAGTACACGAAGCTAAAAAAAATATAAACATTGTGTGTTTCTTTCTAATAAGACATTTTTTTCGAATATCACTATGGTCATTATTTCGAAAATATTTCTAAAAAGATCACATTCTCTTCTGTAGAAAGGCACTTTAACCCATTTACATCTATTGACAATATGTCATAATTGCTAATTGATATGCTTCAACGATCGCGAATTACTGTACATGCCCCCAGCCTTTTACTTTTTCATGGTTTGGATGAGTTTATTTGTAGCATGCTGCTCCAAATATGAACGTCCTGTTATATGTGATTCAAAAGTAATCACGTCCAAAAACATTTTCTTTCCAAATAAGGTCAAATATGAAGAAAAGCGTTAAAATCATGGCATGCCCGAAAACATGATTTCGTATGCAATGCGCATGTTAAAAATGAAAGCTATTTCTATTTTCATCAATGTTAAATGTTTGAAATAGATAAAAATGCTAGACAGAACTGGACTGAATCGATGAAATGGTGCAAAACATGGTCTCCGCCTACTTACTTATCTGGAAATGTATCTCTGGTAAACGCCAACCAAGCCTGTCAAGCATTGCATAGGAAAAAAGATGGTTTATCATGGCTTGGTATTGCAAAAGAAGTATACGAAGGATATGATCGAGGTAAAAAATGTTAAACGTTTTTCTTTTAGTTTTAAAAATAAACACTATACATTTAATGCATGACAGTGAGGGAGAAATGAAGATTTCTTCGCCCATGGAAAATCATATTCCCCGAGGGCACAGCTCGAGGGGAATATGATTTTTCATGGGCGATGCAATCTTCATGTCTCCCTCACTAGCATGCAATAAATTGTTTATCATACCAAATCAAAAACAGTGCAAGGAATACGAAGAAAGATCCAATGAAAAAAATAAACATTTGATAAGAACGATATGAAACAGCCCCAAGTTATACCACTAGCCGCACTTCATTAAAAAATTCTTCGTGACTAGTCCATGTGATTTACACATCAGCAACAATCGACCCCTTCCCAAGAGAACACAATTGTAAATATTTATATTTTACACGTTTGAATCGACACAATAAATCAACAATATAAACAACTTGATTCAGTAGTAATCATATCATTCATTGCATTGTGACGTCACAATCGTGAAACACGACGTTTTGTTGCAGGGCGAACACAACGTTCATGTAACTGCCTAGGCCAATCAGATTAGCTTTCACTTGTGATTATTTATATGAGGTATAATAAATTGGAATATTGTTCTTTCTAAGTGATTAAATACTTATATTGTACAGACCTTTCTAAAGGTTGTTTAATAAACAAAAAAAAGTTTGCCTTGCTTTGGCATGAAAACTACATATATTGCAGTGCATTTATTCACTTAAAATAATGTTCTCCATTTTTATTTAGAAGAAACATAGTTTTCTTTTGAAACACAGTTCAACATAACCGCGTTTTAGAAGGCTTATAAAAATCTAATTATTTTTTATTAAATTGAATCAACGTAAACGTCGTAATATTTGTAGTGCACAAATGAAAAAAATTAAAGAATTTATAAAACAAAAAGAAAAAAAAAAGAAAAACAAACCAGCATTGTCAGTTTTTGTTGATTAAATTTTGCTGAGTAAGCAAAATGAATAAGTCCAGAAAAATTTTAACGTAACAAAAACATGCAGATCTAGATTACACTGTAACAATGTTCATTAACACGCAGATATGTTTGAACTGATTTTTCATAAAATCTCTTTGTCATTAGATTTTAAGAATGAGATATAAATTATATTCCTGAAACAGATTTCTTTTATTTTGTGTTTGTGTCCATGAAAATAGAAAATTAAAAATTGTTAAAAAACAGGCAAAACAAATGTGTCTAGGTCTCACTATATTCTTGTGCGAAAAGTTAGGATCAGATTTCTTTCAATTGTTATTTTTAAAAGTGCTATGATAAAAATTAATATTTCAAAAAAAGCATAGTTCGCTCGGCAACTACTCAATATGTACCTTTTTTGGTTTCCTTTTCATATGCAATAATTATCATTTGTATGTTTCATTTGATTTATAATAGTAAGAAAAGAAGACTTGCTTATTTAGCAACTTGATCTGCACATGTACAGTAAAGAGAAAAATTTAATCTCGGTTGTTAGTATTCATTGTTCCTGAATTCATTTACTAGGTATAAGTTTTGACACCAATCACAGAAGAACCTTCCTGAAATGCCAGAAGTGTAACCACACTAGTTGTGAATTTGTCGACTGCTTTCAAAAACTGAACAGTATTCTGTGCGAAAAGGTACATATTTTTGGAAATATAGAATATTTATGTTTACGTTTTCTTCCCAATTGTTCGATCAGGGAAGAAAATCCGAGAAGATTTAGAGTTTCAGTTGTTGACACATGGTATTACGTGGGAAGCAATCAAATGTATCTTTATCCCGTATGGTTACATTGAATGATGTTGATTTCTATGCAAAAAAATATTGTTTTCCTTATACATGTTTATCCAATGAAAAATTCAATTTAAGAAAAGACATTATTTTACACAGTGACTGTAGTGACATTTATATTCAGTCTTTCAATTTGATATAAATGTGATAAAAAAATAAACATTTAGAGGGATATACATGTATCGTGACACATCATTTATTTTTAATCAAGATTTTTCTGATTTTTTTTTCTTTCAGACTTCATTGGAAGAATCTACCACTGTTGACTTTCCACTGACCATTTATGAAAGTAAACACACTTATATAACATATCCTTAATAGCTTGGAGAAATATCCTTGGTCATTGATAGTAAACGTAACATCATAAGATTCACGTGTGGGAATAAATCCAAGATTTCAATTATCAATTGTTATCAATAATCAGAAATATGATGAAATCATTTGACACAGAATATTCCATACATATTGTAGAGTAAAATATGCTTTGTTTAATTTTTTAAAGTTGGTCTTCATGATATGTTTAAAGAGACCTGCGAGTTTTACTGAAGATTTTTTATGAACTATCATTTTTAAAATATTCGATCAGTGCTTACTATTAATGCAAGATATATTACTGTAGTCAGCGGTGACTCGCACAAATTGTTCCGACGAAAATATTTCCATCATGATATGTAGATACAACATTATTGTTCATGATAAGAATTATGTTGTGTATGTCATACGTTAAAGAAACCAAAAATATCGTCAAAATGTTTTTAGAAAATCACTTTCCCCCTGAAATGCAAATAAAGAATATCAATATTCCTACGCTCGCTCCCTCCTCAGCCCCCCCTTTTTTTTTTACATGTTTGATAACAGAGAATATTTAGGTCATTCTTCGATTGATATTTTTTCACCGATGAATTAATAATACTGTATCAACAATTGTATTAAGTACATGTTTATAGTCCGTTAATTATCATACAATTTTCTCTTAAAGAAAAAAAATAATCATTAGATGTGTGTGTGTGTGTGTGTGTGAGGGTGTGAGGGTGTGAGGGTGTGTGTGTGTGTGTGTGTGTGTGTGTGTATCATTTAATGACGGAATTTTAATCCCTGGCCGGATTCTGCTCGTGTGTACACTGTGTAAACTGTAGGGTATAAAATGTGTAGCAAAACACGAACCGCGTCGGAGAATTCTAAACTGAAAACCGGGTTCGTGTTGAAGTTCAGCATATCATTTTAATTATATAGAATTTTAATTATATAAGTAATATATAATTCCTGCAACAAATACATTTTTGTAATTTTCAAAACAAAAAAGAAAGGTTTTCAACTTAGATTTTTCGACCCGGCCCTGAGTTTCCTAACCCATTTTTAACACACTTTGTTGCAATTGCAAATGTTAGAACAAAATATAGTTCAACAGGTATTGTATATTTTTTATTAATCAGAATTCGTATTCATATGATCTAATTAAGAAAAGAAAAGTTTTGTCTGCCATAGTAACTTCTCGGCAAAACAAAACGTGTTTCTCCGAGCTCGATAGATGCGTTTGACAACTCCATCACAAGTGTGTAGACTAAGGCTAATGTTGGTATTGCGGACACAGGTATGTGTACTGTTTGTTAAGAAACTGGGTGACCGTAATGGTACGGACTCACGAAATTTACTCGATTTGCATAATTAAACAGTGCATTTTTTTTTTAAATTAAATTCATTATAAACACTGTTAAACATATTAAATCTAAAAGTCAAATACCTTTGGATATGGGGTAACCCATATCTATTCTTGTTAGTAGTAAATAAAACAAGTCATACGAGATGAATCTGACCTAAAGGTATGACGTAGACTTCTGCAAGGAAAAGTATATTTGCGATTTAGATAATCACTAGCCATTAACAATTTTTTACAACAGAAAAGCTTTGTACATGTAATTATGTCAACAGACTTAAATATTAGGATTAAACAAATCGTAGGAATTACAACTCAATGACACTCAGTTTGGAAGACATTTCACAAATTAACGTGTTTTCTTTCCTTTATTTTAATTTCAGATTTAGAAAATCCCGTTCCTTTGATTTCTTTGATAGTGTCGTTAGTGGTAGTCTTTATTCTTGCTATTTGCACAGCAGTTGTCGTCACTTGGTTGATTAGGTATGTATTACAGTTTAATTATAGATAATCACGACGATGGTGTGTGTACATGTATGTGCTTTTATGATTAATTAGGTATTTCTAATTCCATTTTCTAAAGTCTAAGTATTTTACAGAAAAAGGGGGATAGAAAACAAAGACAACAAGATAAATCATCAAATGTCAAACTCTATAAGTGAAAATGTTTACGTCAACGTTAATGACGACCCGAATATGATGAAATATAATTCTGAACAAAGACCTTCATCAAAACACTTTATCAGACCAGAAAATCCAGAACAAAATTTAGATAAACCATATCGGGAAACAGTTGATGATGTCTATGATCATCTCGGGGATAAGGAAACTAAACAAAACAAGAACGACAATGTCTATGATCACGCCCATTTTGCTGCCGAATCAGAGGACGGGGTGTATAATATTAGTACTAGTGGTACATCACAAAATAAATCTCAAGATGAGGCTACTTATGATCATGCCGCGTCTTACTCAGATTATGGACACCATGGTGAACAAGTCGATAAGATGGAGGATACGTACTCCAGACTTCAGATAAAATCACGGAGCGGACACTAAGGGAATACGTATTAGAAAGTTTTTTTTTCAGTTAAATAGGAACCTAAACCGTTTGACGTCAGAGCATCAGCTTTTGACTAAACAATTATACTTTCCTCAAGGAATTTGCATTCGATTCTTACTTTTGTGCAATGCATGCATTTGTGATAGAAAATTACCGGTGTATCCGGATTCACGTATGAGCGTTTGGGCACATGTTTAAATTGGAGATTTTTGACAATCTAAGAATAAAATAAAACAATTATAATTCTTCATATTTGATTAAGAATTTGTAAATAAAAGAAAAATTCTCTTGTTGATTAATAACCTACAAGGCCAATAGCAATCTCAAATGGGGAAAAAATTTCCTCAAATTTGAAGCAGGCATATTCTTTTAATATAATTATTATATTATAACTATTATTTACAATATTGTCAGTCAGCATCCTCATTTAGTCTCTGAAGACCTTTATGGCATATATTTGGACATTTTAAATCAAAAGTTTGTTTCCAAGAAAGATAGTTTCATATGAGTACTTTTTAAAAGAATCTTATGTACTAATATTCATGATTTTGGAGATTTTCTGTTTGTATTGTTTAGTTAATAAACATCCATAGATCCATTTCTGAAGAAAAAAACCTCATAAATTAATTTTTGAAAATGTAATTAAAACTTTAATGGAAAATATGTACTGACTGTATTTTGTATTGTTTATATAACAATTATATTGCAAGACAGTAGGCTTTAAAATACAGTATAATTTTAAAAATATTTCATTATTGTGCAAAAATATAGACATCAAAAGTCGGGACATGTTTGTTGAAACACCCTGTAAATGTCAATTTTAATTTCGAATTCCAGATTTACGTTTATCACGGTGCATTCAGACCAATATAAATATTATTCAATCAACTTATTAAGTAATTAAAACATGATCAGTTCTTTATAGAGAGCATCACATACACTGGACATTTCTAAAGCATCATCTGTTTTTTTTTTATTAGTAAATTGTACAATTGCATAATTCGTTACTAGGATGTCTAATATCGGTAAGTCATACAATGGTATTGAAACATGTCTTAGAGTCATTATACATGTAACACCCTTATATTAAATGACCTTTTCGTCCGAAAACGAAATTCCTAAAGTACGTGCGCTGTGCACAGTTTTTGCCTAGATATATGATGCAGGTGACTACTGATGTTGGTCAATAAGATTCCAACAAAAGCAGTCTTCCATATAAAATCACTGCTGTGCATAGGTACTAGGTGCTTAATACCAAATCCACCAAATTTACGGTTGCCCTAATTTTAAATAACAATCTTGAAACTGAAATGTTCGATTTAATTAACGCCATGGATATCTAGAGTTTATATACAGCTCATGCTGTTCAAGGCATTTTTTAAGGACATTGGCAAGGTTTCCGTATTTTGTATAGAATTTTTCAAGAACTTTTGAACAGGTTTAATGGTACCAAACATGTTCAATTCAGATCCTTTTTACCCATCAAGCCAGCCTTCCTTTAAAGGTTTTGTCAAATCAATGTTTTTACAATTCTCAATGCATTCCCTATGTAAAATGTTGATAAAATGCATATGGTCCTATATTATTTTTAACCATAAGTTTTTTCTAAAACCCATTTATTTCATAAAGTTTACACATAAAATACATTGTTGAATCTTCATTTCTGATGACAAACATATACTTTGGCTCAAATTGCAAATATAGAAACAAAACACAGAAATACTAGCACTTTTGTTTGATTTTGAGTTACTTCCCTTAACATCTAATTATTATTCATAATGATCAAGAGACTGGTTGTTTGTTTCTATACTATAATTTACTTTATTTGAAAGGAACTGTCGTTAAACATTTTGGCAAGGATTTATTTAATATTAACTTTTAATGATGCCTCCTTCACAAAACCTATAGAATCGTTCTCATCTGGTCTACCTAGCTATCACCACTTTCAGCATAATTATGTCACTTCTTTTCACTTCCCAGCATACATGTACTTATTCTAAATGACGGCCTGTTGGCTGTCTGCCCCCTCAGCACAATGTAAACAAACCCATCTCTGCTATTCTTTTCTTACTGTAGAGTTGAATATATCAGATTAAAAAACACACACGTGCTTTTGTTTACCTCTCAGTCTGTAACACACGCTTTATTGGTTTTCACCGCCTAGAGAATTCCATACGGGAGATCACTCTCAATGACTATTTCTATAAATGAAAAAACCTGGGTATAAACCTTTTTTCTCCGAAAACCCTGCGTTGCCAATGACCTTAAGCTCACATGTATGGTTTTTCACACAAATTAAGGTCACATATAGAGGCGACAAAATATACTATGTAAGTGATTGTTTACAGTATTTACATTTTATTTCACTTATTAAAAACAGAATTCACAATTCAGAACTGGTAGGACTTTTATATACTCTTAGTTGATAAATTACAATTATTCCCAAATGAATTTTTGTCCCCCGCTTGAAAAGTGGGGGATATTAATTTGGGTCTGTCCGTCCGTCCGTCTTTCTGTCTGTCTGTAATGCTTTCGTTTCCACACGATATCTCGAGAACCCTTTGAGCTTTCGCAATGAAATTTTGCAGAGCAGCTCCCTATGGACTAAAGAAGAACCCTATTGATTTTGAGGTCAAAAGGTTAAAGGTCAAGGTCATAAATTTGCAAATTCTGTCTGTTATAACACTTTCGTTTCCGCGCGATATCTCAAGAACCCCTTGAGCTTTTGCAATGAAATTTTACATAACAACTCCCTGTGGCCTAAGGAAGACCCCTATTGATTTTGAGGTCAAAAGATCAAAGTTCAAGGTCGTAAATCTATATATTCTGTCTTTGTGTAACACTATTGTTTCCGGGTGATATTTCATGAAGACTTTGAGCTTTTGCAATGTAATTTTATTCCAAAACTCCCTTGGACCTCTCTCATCCCTCTCAAAGTGTCCCGCCCCGTTTGTTTTATTGTATTACATGTCGCTATTTTTAGCAGAGTCGCATGAGGAGAGTTATTACGTATAAAATAGGTTCGCGGCGGACTTTATATTCTTAATACAACTATTAGAACTGTTTAATAAAGACTAAATTAGACACCATGCATTGTGTAAAATTTTGACAATATCGAACGTGAATGTGTACATGTATGTACATGTATGTGACTTAATGTTTTCATATAATTTTCCACAATTGGAAGCGATTCCGTGGTCTAGTAGTATGTTTCTCGCTTATTGTGTGAAAAGTCCCGGGTTCGATACTCGGACGTTCCTTTTTCTTTTTTCCCGAAATACTTTTTTTTTACTAAATGATAATATTCGGCATTTGAAATGAAAAATTTATGAGGTCTGGCTTGTACAAACTCATAAAATCATCATTACAGTGTGATAAATATTCCATATAAAAAGGATCTTCTATACATATAATAAAGAATAAGCAATCAAATCTTTATATCCATATAGGCATATTTTATTTGTTTCAGTATACATATATACATTTAACAATTCTACAAATTCAGTCAGAGGGATCCGACCCCTCCCCCCCCCCTTCAACCGAACTGCGCATGGTTTACTTTTTCCATAAGCGGGGGGCACAAATTCTCTGAATTAGCTTGTTATGGTTTCTTTCCAATTGCATCCGTGGTATTATCCATTCTTTTGAAAGCAGTGGCATTTTGCAGAAAATTAGGAATAGGCACAGCATTGTTCCCGTTACTTGTATTTTTCTGTACATGCTGACTCTATAGCGCACAATGATAAAAGTATTTTTCATCTATTCAACTGCTTTCTATGTTAAAAAGCAGACATTTTTCCGAGTTAACTTTCTAAAATCTAGAATGCTGAAAGATCTATCCTACTGCAAAATTTTAAAGTTTCAAACCGTAAATGTAAAAGAATTTTCATTTCAATAAAAAGAATTTGCTATTTAAAAAGATGAACAATGCTTTATTATCCAAGCTACGTATTGTCGTGGTTTCTTTCTACAGTGTTGTCCATTTTCGCGGTATATTTCGACAAAACCAAGACGAGTATGGTAAATGTGCAAAGTATTTTTAAAAATACTCACCTTCAAGAAGCTAATCTAAAAAAAAATCAATTACATGGTTTCAAAGAAAGTTCGTTTTATTCAACTTGTATAAACCTATGGTAGATACATATACAATGTAGTTGTTCCGTCGTATAATTTACTCATACATTACTTTTTAAAAAATGCTCTTTTGAAACATAATATAATAATGTGAATGGACATTTATCCTTGACATTATATATAACACAATTCAGAGTTATGTTGCCGTACTGAAGTTCGCTATTTTAGTAAAAGAGGAATGTGACCTTAATTCGTGTGAAAAACCAATGCATGTGAGCTTAAAAAGTGCGTTGAGCTATACATGTATGCTATTTTTTTTTTACTTTTTTTTTTTACTAAAACGTGACACAATTTCGAAAGTGAAAGTCATTTTGCTTTCTATTTTTTAGCCCATTAATGTGCACTGTGAATTGTTCACTTGTACTTGAGCATTTACACATAATATTTTTAATATTTAAATGCCTTCTTTAATTTTGAGTTTGGGGTAAAATTGTGTAACACAAATGGAGTTCTTCCCTAAAGTGGTAAAATTCTTTTTGTCTGGTTCGATTCTCATGTGAGGTTCAATTCGTTTTCTTTTATAGGTTATTTATCATGACCCAAAAATCCTTGACCTGCAGAAATGACAATGAAAATTCTGTTAGCATCCTTCTCTTTGTTAAGAGTGTGAATGCAATGGTCGGTAAAATTATTTCAAAGTCCTATAGCTATATAGTAATCTATTATTCTATTAAATAATGTACAATGTTTATGGCTCAAATCATATGAAATTTATGTAAATGATGTTTATAATCTTGTAAGTCTTGCCTTTCGTGTGGACATGAGGGTCGTACGTCCTGTAAAACGTAAGGTTTTCGACTTATAAGGCAAGCCTTACGGCCTTTATAGAGCTATTTTTTCTCAAGTGATGTCATACAAATTCTTCGTTGTACAATGAAGCGCATTGAAGTGGTAAAATTTTCCATTTGGATGAAACGTTCTGAGTCATGCTTTGACCGTCAATTATAACAGAACGACACGCCCATTTCTTTAGAAACGAGAAAGAAATATTCGTCGTAATGTTTTAGGGCACCCCACTTTCCGCGACAAACAACATGAGTTACACTAAATTGAAGATTTTTAAGTAAATAAAAAATATAGAGAGAATCCCCGCTTTTGTAAAACACGCATTGCAACAAATTTGTACATAATTATGATTTTATCATGTTTATTGGAGTTAGCATAACACATGTATCGGTCGCACACGTGCCTACTCGGTGTTTATGCAGTCCGTCAATTTGATTGGCTACTATATTTATGGAATACCTGTTCTACAGGTATTCGATTGAATCATTTGACCGATTTTTCCTTTCTAAA